GGAAGTGAGGCTGGAATTTGGTATGGGGCCTGTCAACCTCCACAGGTTCCACTTATAAAACACAAATTCAAGTATATTCAAACTGCATTTGTGGCACTGTGTCCACACTCCTAGCCATTTGGACTCGAGCCCACCAAGTCTTCATTCTCAAGGCTAAACTTGTCCAATTCTTTCAGTCTTCGTTCATAAGGCTTGGTTCCAGCCTCCTGATCATCTTTGTTGCCCTCCTCTGAAATTGTTCCGGTTTGTCAGCATCCTTCCAGTTGTCGTTTAGTCGTTTAGTCGTGTCCGACTCTTTGTGACCCCATGGACCAGAGTATGCCAGGCCCTGCTGTCTTCCCAGGCCCTGCTGTCTTCTTCCAGAACTGGACACAATATTCAGGATGCGGCCAAAGTAGTGCCGATAGAAGGGAACTATTACCTCACGGGATTTGGAGACTATACCTCTGTCAATGCAGCCTAAAATAGCATTTGCCTTTTTTGTAGCCACATCACACTATTAATTCATATTCAGCTTGTTATCTATGATGATTCCAAGATCCTTCTTGCTCGTAATATTGCTGAGCCAGGTATTCCACATCTTGTAGCTGTGTTTGGTTTCTTTTTCCTAGGTGCAGTACTTTGCATTTATCCCTGTTGAATTTAATTTTGTTGTTTCCAGCCCAGTGCTCAAGCCTATCTAGATAATTTTGAATTTTGTTTCTGTTTTCCAGGGTATTAGCTATTCCACCCAGTTTTGTGTCATCTACAAATTTGATTAGCTTTCCCTGCACCTCCAATTCAGATGGGGAGGACTCTCTTAGGAAATTGGAACAAGAAGAAAAAGTTTTCAAAAATGTAATTTTCCTCATGCTTCTGCTTTTAGCCTGGGGGAAAGGTAAGGGAAGACAGCAGGAAATTAATCACAGATGCACTGTGTTACATTAAGCCTGGGGCCTTGCACAAATGCTAAAATATTCTTATCAAGACGCCCATTCCTATAACTTGGAGATGCTACTTTTTTACTACCATTCCCAGAAAATAATTACAGGAACTGGTACACCCATTGAAATCGTAGGTCACAAAGAGGGGGAACTATAGTCCCAGGATGTAGAAAATGTAATGTTCTTTATTTCAGTGTAAAATGCTCTATGCATTTTGGCCTATCAGCCTTCTTCAAGGCCATGCTTATTAAACTCTAGTTAGCTCTTTCACTGTTTATTCAGTTTGTAACCAGCTCCATTAAATCAGTTCTAGGCATTTTACACTCAAATAAAGAATATTATATTTTCTACATCCTGGGGCCATGCTTATTAAACTCTAGTTAGCTCTTTCACTGTTTATTCAGTTTGTAACCAGCTCCATTAAATCAGTTCTAGGCATTTTACACTCAAATAAAGAATATTATATTTTCTACATCCTGGGACTACACTCCCCCCGCCCCAGAAAGCCCTGGCTCTGAGAATTTAGTCCAAAAATACTGGAAGAGATAAAGCAGAATAGTGTGGCATTATTGCCTGCACATTGGTATACGTATAAATACAGAAGACATAGAATTCACATTATTTTGTGTCTGAGGAAATGGATCTTGATCTGTAAAAGCTCACACCTTGCTCTTTAAAGTGCTACATAGACTAGCACAGCTGCTTTTTTGGAAGCTGTTACAGAAGTAGACCAAAAGGCAACGTTTCCAACCTCAGTGGGTACTTAAGGTAAAGGTAAAAGTTCCCCTTGACATTTTCAGTCCAGTCGTGTCTGGCTTTAGAGGGCGGCGCTCATCCCGCTTTTCAAGCCATAGAGCCAGCGCCTGTCCGAAGACAGTTTTCTGTTGTCACGTGGCCAGCGTGACTAGGGAACGCCGTTTTACCTTCCCACCGAGATGGTATCTATTTATCTATTCGCATTTCCATGCTTTCGAAGCAGTGGGTA